GGGGGGGCGAGTGTGAATGGCTCAGCATCTGATAGGAATTTATCACCCACCGGCTGCTGGTTGGGCAGGGGATAAAGCAAGGGGAAGGGGGCTGTGAGTGTTTAATGCACACTGCCACAACCCAACAGTTTTCCCTAAAGAGCCTCTTCCCAATATAAAAGAACAGGGTCAAAAGTAAGTTGACCCCGGACAGAATGTACAATTATTAGAAGAGAACTGTGCAGGAACAGCTGCTGGGACCCCACCGGTTCCGCATCAGGCTTCCAAGAGTCAGAATATGAATAATCAACTCAAGGGTGTTTTCTCCACCCCTCCTCACCCCCACCACCTCCCCCAGCCTTGTCCTCCTGTTTTGGGCAAGTCCTATTGCGTTTCTACAGGAAGAAGCATAGCCCTCCCTAGCAGCTGCAATAATTGTGTCCCTATTGTGATGAAGACCTCCTCCTGGCCACCCCCCTACAAGTGGCCATTGTCAGCGTGGAGTCAGTGATTACACGCTCCGCCTGATGCTTTGGGGGACCCAGCTGCCTAAGTGCTGACACACGAGTGTGCGGAAGGCCGGGGAGGGGGCCGGTGGAGGTGGAGGCAAGAGGTGGGGGGAGCCCACGGCTGTGAGATGGGACTCTGACATACCAGACCTTTTGCATAAGTCAAGCCCAGAACAAATGAGGCTTTATCAGGCCCCAGTGATGAGGGGGTCTCATCTCCCTTTGAACTGGAGCAGAGCATGGGGCCTAGCAGCTTTTCCTCCTTTGGACCAAGCAAACATCTTGCTTTTGATACGCTGCATGCTCATTATCTCTGCCCCATTTAATGATTTTTGATTGAAGGGTGGCGGCTGGGACGCCGAGAAGATCGTTAGAGAGGCTCCATCCAGCCAAGCCCGCAAGAAAGGCTTTCCTTGTGCCCGGGCGTAAATTCGGAATTTCTTAACAGTATGCGCTTGTTCTTAGAGGCAGATAAGGGCAGAGCGTGAAATTCTTAATTAAGCAATAAATAGAGAGTGGGGTGTCAGCAGATGTAGCCGGTAGCCATGGCAACGGGAATCACATGGGCAAGAGAGCTGAGACTAGATGTAGGCCTCAGGCCTGGGCCTGACTGACAGCTGAAGAATCCTACAAAGCTTGTAAACCAGATTAATTAGCTGACTAATTATTTCATAGCGTGAATGTAACTAAAAAATAAAAATAGTTCACCACGAACTAAAACATCCCTGGGAAAAAAAAACAGGGACAGAGGTAGTGGGAAACTGGCTGTGTAAGTCAGAGACAGGAGTGCTAGTGAATCCAATCACAGAGACTGAAAAATGGGCTCTCTGGATTTGACTCCAAGTTTGACAATATGAAGGAACACTTGTTTTACAGTCAGACCCGTTTGCAAGCATGGTGTAGAAGTTGCAGTTCACCACTGCCGTTCATGATACCTTATCACACCAAATATTGCCCCTCCGGGATCCTACCACATAGAACCAATCTCCTTAAGAAAGATTCTTAAATGAGCAAGGTTATCTTATTCTGTGGGTAACAATTGCTTAAGTGATATTAAGTTTCAATCAGGGGGCCCATATATCATATACGCCATGTTATCATGAATCTGTTATCTTACAAAAGCTAGTCAAGGAAAGTAGAATGAGACTCTTTCAGACAAGTTATGACAGGTATATGGAATTCAAGGCACCTGAGATTGACCACCTTCCAGGAAAAAAGAAACATTCTAGAGAAATAATCTACTGAGAAAATGTGTAATAAAATAACACGGCATGCTAATCACACTTGAAGATGTTTGGGTGTTTTGTACCACAATTCCAAGAGATAAGTAAGTATTCTTAACCTCGCTGTATAGATGCAGCCACGGAGGCATGGAGAATTTATAATTCCATGCCCCAGGTAAAACAGCCAGCCAGCCACTGATTAAAACCCGAAGCCCTAAACTCTGGCCGTGAGCTTTCCAAAGAAGCTGCATTCTGTAAAGACATTGCTGAACAAAGACAAAACTTGCCTTGGTAAAGAAGAGAAAGGCAAGAGTCAAAAAATATTATATGTGCGGGACTTTTTCTTTGTCATGGGGACCAGTGAGAGGTTTTCTCCTGCACCACTGCCTGGCACCCCCACCCTTGTGGGTCAGCGGCCCACGATTATTGAGTGGGCAGCACACTCTAGTGGAGAGAGTCACAGCCAGGAGCCAGAATGCCTGGGTTCTGCTCTCTGCCATTCTCGGCTGGGTCAAAGACGAGTCAGGCATCTTAAATCACACAGCAAGGAGCTAAATGGAGGAAATGAATATAATTGTGATTTTTTTAAAACTTCCTCTCTGGGGGGATGTGGTAGGGCTGCACACAAACAATACAAAAGACGGTCTGCTTAGAAGTGGTCAAGGAATGAGTGAAAGCCAGCCAACTGTCAGTGCAGCAAGACTCCAGATGGAAGGCCAGCAGGGAAAGGGGCAGTGTCCCCCCAGCCATGCCCACCCCCCAAAGCCTGACAGGAAACTCGGTGGACCTGGAGGAGGGTCAAGCAGTTTCCCTATAATAAAGCGAACCTTCTGTATACACAACCTCCCCCTGAGTTTTTTGTTTTGTTTTGTTTTGCTCTTCATTCCAGGAATATGTCCACATAGACTGTGAGGGCTTCTCTTCTTGGATTAAATGTATTTTATGTAAATTATCCCAATCACAGAGACCTATAAAGCCCCATGGTCCAAAGAAAACAATTAAGTGAAAGTAACAAACTAATCAATATGTAACTGAACTCTACTGCTTGGAGGCTTTTTCAGGGGTCAGCCACAGCTACCTCACTGCTGTTGGGCTGTTGGTCTACGGACACCATGGTAGCCTCCTCATCAACTTCCTAGTGGTGGTGCAGACGGTACACAGAAGACATCCAAAGTCATACCCATCCACACAACCCAATGTAGCTGCATGGGACACCACCACGGAAGACCAGTGTGAGCCTCGGTTCCTCCTGAAACCTCAAGTCCTCACTGTGCCAGCCCAGGAATGGGAACAGGCCTGGCTCTCGCCACCTACCTACTCCATTCAGACAGAGGATGGTGGAAGCACAGATGGCCATGAAAGCCGCTATTTGGAGGACCAGGAATCCTCTCCAAGGAGTCCGGGTATCTGACTTGCAACCCTCTGTGACTTCCTGTTCCTTGTCCAACTCATATTATTCAAAAGTGGAGATACCAAGGTATTCTGATACAAAGACTCTTTAATTAGTAAAAGCCATCTGCCTAATAAAAATGGCTTATACTGAAATATTCACCTAAGTCCTATATATGTACATATATAATACAGAGGCACATCTACATAAAATATATATATATACTTATACAGATATGCATTTATACCATATGTGTACATATAGTATAATACTATAACTTGCTGTTAATTCAATAAATAATGGCGGGGAAGAAAATCTTTAGCTGCATGACCTGATTTTGTTTTCTTTATGCCACAAATGTTCCTTTATCATGCTTGGTTTATGTGACTGTTCAAATTAGTTTACAGTTCATGAACAAATCTGATCAATGGACAAGACAGGCTCCTCAGAAGCACGCTAACTAATAAAACAAGAGCACTTTGAAATTAAAATTTTGTTTCAGAATATACAGCAAATGAATAGCCATAGTTAAAGTTAACGGCAACTATCTGCTCTTACTTAATGGCTGTATGTGACTCTAGTGGTAAAACAGTCTCAGGGATCTCTGTCCATCCTGATTTTTTATAGTATTAGGTTATATTTATGGATGAATCAAATCAGGAATAAAATCTGAATGGTACAATTCAGTGCAAATAAAATATAGAGTAATCCATTTGGCCAAGACTTTTTAAAAACCCGGGAAGCACCATCCTCTCCTCTCTGGTGCTATTAAAATGTAATCGCCCCAGGGCTCAAGTGTAATCAGACCCAGTTGACAAATCGCTATAGGCACAAGTGAGAGGGACAAAGAACTCAGGGCGCCTACCAGCTCCCCAAACCCTTAAGGCCAAGTCTGGCTTGTGGCAGAGACTGGGACTTGCCATGCTTGACATGGCCCTGATTTCAACCAGGATCTATTAAGACCAATTCATAACAAAATTGTCCTTTTAGAGACTCATTTTGTCAGATTCTCCTTCTTAGAGACCACACTGAGCTAAGGTTGGTAGAAGTGGACACCATGTACTCAGAGTGACCAATGCTGAAATAATATGGAAAAGAAATATGAGATTTCAGGAAGTCAAATATGAGATTTCAGGAAGTCCAGGAAGTCAAAAGAAATGTATGGCCCTGACCCACACATTGGGCTCCCGTGAAACATGCACAATAAGAAGGTAAGGAAATCCTTTTGGCCCCTGTTACTCTGCAATCACTGTAGGGTTTCTGGTTCTATAAAATGAGGCTCCTGGACCCTTCACTGATGCTGCCTCTGACACAAGACAAGACAGCCCATCCCCCAGTCCTCAGATAGCCTTCCATGCATCTCATTTTTCTGACCTCAGATTTCCTTCCAAGGCTTCTCACTTTCCACATTGACTACACTCTTCATCCTGCCTCTCTGTACCTTTGCTGTTCCTTGTATCTGTGATCACAACCAGCCATCCTGTCTTTACATGTCCAGTTGACTTTTCTACAAATGCAACATGGCCTTAACATGAATGAAAAATATGAATAGCAGTCAAAGTTTATTAAGCACTTGCTCTGGGTTAGACCCTCTGCTAAAGAATTTTACATGTTATCCTTGATTTAATTTCCTATCCTTTAGATAGGTCCTTTTATTATCCCATTTTACAGATAAGGAGGCTGAGGCTTAGAAAGGATACCTGCACGATGTCCCATAGCTAGTAAGTGCTAGAGCTGGGATTCAAATGCAGGCAGTCTGATTCAGAGCCCAGCCACTTAACCATAACACGCAGCGGTCTCTTTCAGCTCCTCATCACTTCACAGCACCAATGTTTGGTATTCCAAAGGGAACGGTGGTTTCTGACTATGTGCTCAACATGCTCATCCAATTATACTTACCCAGATAGGTGAGTTGTCTCAACTGGCTGTGGAAGAACCAGTCACAGCCTTGGTCCCGACCAGGTGATGGAAGAGACGGAAGGGACCGCCCCACTTGACTCCCACACCTTATGAGGATGTCAGGGTAAGGCCACAGGTCTGTGTGCACCAGCAGCAGGTAATTCCCAGGAGCAAAGTTCTCAAATGTCGCTGAGTACTTGAAGTGAGAGAAAAGTACAAAAGTGCTCATTGAGTGAGGAAGACTCTTCCCAGAAAAAGAGTTACAAAGAACTCAGATGGAGTAGTTTAGAAACAGGACTGTTCACACCGGCTACTTTTCTTGTGGGAAATGGGCTTACTTAAATCTACTCCATCATAAATTCATAACTAAAGCTACAAAAGCATACAGTGCGAGGACTGAAAACTGTAAGGTTCTTCTTGTTTAACAATCTCAATTAACAGAGGAGAAAACCAAAGTTCAGACAAGTGAAGTAACTCGTCCCAGGTCAAACAGCAAGAAGAGACAGAGACACATGTAGAATTCCTGTCCAGTTTTCCCCAAGACTCAAACAGGCAGGCAATGATAGGAGTGCCATCCATTTATAAGAGTAACAGTTAACACGGTTGAGCATTGGCTCAGGTATCATTCATATCAAGGCATCCAACCCTTGAAAGACTCTGGGGATTGTGACTAGTATTGCCTCCATTTTATAGACGAAGACACTGAGGCAGGTGGAGGTTCGGTAACTCTCCCTACATCACAAAGCAGGACAGTGCTGATCTGGGACAGAGATCCAGGTGTCCACCTCCAGAGTCACCATTCTACTGCCTTCACCTTCCCAGAATGTTCTCATGGGAACCTCAGGGGAAGGGGAGAGAGGTGTACATTCTTCCTGAGAGCTGTGGTGAGGGGATCAAATGGATTCTGCTTTGAATTCTTCAGATCTATGGCACACCTGCTTCCAGCTCCCTAAGACCTGCTCTTATGACCTTTAGGGAGAATGAGTGTGATGAGACGGGAAGAAAGAAATGTGTTAAAAGGAATAAAAGAAGCTTGAGGAAATCCACTGGATTGATTTTTCTGCAGAAAATGCACCTATTTTCCTTATGGTTTTTCCTACCTTCCCTCCCCCTAACCATCTGACTCCTTCAACCCAATCCAAACGAAAGGCTAGTGCCTTTCGTTTTCAGGTGCAAGTTAATCTTTGACCACAAGGTGGCAGTGTGCAATGTAAAAAATGCCTTGTGAAGCTATTTTCTCTCGGCTACAAACACTTCCCTGGGGTAAGTTGGTTCTTAACCCATGATATATAAGACTACAATTCTATAGGTTGTTTAGAAGCTGTTTTTATTTGTATTAATAAAGTTAAAATTTCAGGCAGAACCATTCTGTGTTCAAGGTGAGGTTTAAAGGGATTCTAAAATTTTCAAGTTTAAGATAAAAGACAATCATACCTCAAATTCAGGTTACATTCATCTGGTCAAAATGCTGCTGCAGTTTTCTTGATCAGCACCAGAAGATGCTAATACTTGCAAACTACTGCGTCACAGAAGGAAAGACGGGAACCCCCAGGGAATGGAATCTACCATCAAGTGGATGCCGGGGCTTACCTGCAGAGAGCTGTTGGTCCAAGGGCTCTCAAATCGCAGTGAGTAGGTCTCTTGATCCAAGAGCAGTGCCATCCAGCCATAAGGGTTGGACAGTGTGTCATGCACATAACTAACAGTGGTTGTCTTATTTCTGCTGTCCGTTATGGTTAAATCATAAGAAACTTTTGGGGCATTGGCTCTAGAGTGATTTAAAAAGAAAAAAAGCAGGTGTAAGTTTTTTGTCCATCCTGGATCTAAGGCACTCCTCTCCCATCAGCTATAATTTATCTATTTTCTCCATGTACGTCTCTCGCCCCAGTGTCTATAGAGGTTTTAGCGGTCATGGTGTGTGTCAAAAAGCCCAGTGGGAAGGTGTCACTGGGCCATTTGTGCATCACACTGACCTGAAACACTCAGATCTTAGGCCACTAATCAATGCCATCTTAATGAGTTCATATAGGCCAGGACTATATATTATTATTTTAAAGAAATGTCCAAGGTCAGAATATTGCCATAGCCCGGGTTTATCAGCAGCAGAATGCGTATTACACAGTCACTAGTTATCCCTCTGGGGAGCAGTGGCTGAAGCCCAGAACCTCAGAGCCTACCTCCAACGGCCCAGCAGGAACAGCCTCAGTAAGCTTCCCCAGAACGCAGAGGGCCCTGGGTCCTCTCCTGTGGGCTTACACGATGCCCAGGGCTCACTCAGTGCCAGTGGGTTTGCGTTCTTGCTTGTTAACAAGGAATGCGACATCCTGAAGCTAGAGACATTTTGTCTTTTCTGGTGTCCTGCCCCTTGGCACTGGGACCTGCACATTATGGGCACTCAAACCATGTTTGTTACACAAACGAAGCCTGCAGGGAGGAGCTCTTCCCAAAAGCGATGCCAACTTCCCAATGTATAGAAAGCGTTTCTAGAAGAACAGCATTTTACCAAGTGAGGAAACTGAGACAGAGTATGGTAAAAGTAGTATGTGAACATCACAGGTAGAGCTAGAAAGTTTTAAATTTCTACAAAGTATTCTATGCAGCCCATTCCAGAAAGTGATTTTTAAGACTTCACTAGAAGATAAATAGATTTTGCCACCTGCTTAGACCCTAAAAGAAAAAGTGGACAGAAAAAAAATAAAGCAAAAGCTAAAAAAAAAATCAACACCCATTACGACCTTCCTTCCCCCTCTGGTTTAGTTTTGATGAGAATCTTTAACTGTGGCATGTTGCTACAGGCAGATAATTAAATTCTCAAAGTAAAGGGAAATGAGACAAAGGAGGATATTGGGTTTTCAAAGTGAGGGGTGATGTGAGCACATCGAAAGCCAATTTACAATCTAGTGGCATATTATAGAGAGGAGACTGGTTTTAGTGTTAAATGCTTGGGCACCGTTGTCAAATGGGTGTAAACTGGAAGTCTATAACTGCATGTGCACTAGGTGTATGAATTTGGGGGACTCACTGACCCTCTTTAAGCTTTAATTTCCTTTTTTTTTTTAATGGAGACAACATCAGTATGTATCTCCTATAGCAACTGTGAAACTTAAAGTGATAATCTACGTGAAGTATTCACTAAGTATTCACTAAGCCCAAGAAGTCTACCTATAGCTCATTTAAGAAAGAACCTCAGATGTGCCTGGTTTGCCACGCTGTCTACTTATTTTACTGTCTAGAGTTTATCCAGGATACTTGGTCATTTAAAATCACACTCAAAACCTTTCATGGTGCAGAGCTTTAGCCCTGGCAATGTAGCACGTGATTCATATTTCTTGTAAGATTAAATGTGTTTGTTTCAGCCATTAATAAGTAAAATGAAAGGGATAAAAGAATGCTCAAGGCATTTGGAATAAAAGAACCACTCTTTCCCAGATGTCCCTACGTAGCATTCACCAAACCTTTAGAAATCTTGGGGTAGGGGGGCTTCTTCCTCTATTTGGGCCTGGGATATGGAGGGCTTTTTTTGCATGTATATCAAGATTTAAATCGGAACTTAAGTAAATCCTGGACTCACATTCTTAGAATCAGAGTGGATATGAAGGTCATCTGTTCTAACATCCAATCTACTGTGGAAATTCCCTCCATATTTTATCTTGTTCCTTCTTCCAGCTTTGGGGAGTTCACATCCTCAAATTCCCCCTCCATTTATGAAAGTTATTTGTAAATTTTAATTTTAGACAAGCTTGAGAAAGCTTAATTTTCTCCCGTGTATTTTCTAGCCCTTTCTCCTCAATCGCTATGGCTTTCTCTTACTCTGACTGAAACCATGAGTCCCAGGGTCCCAGGAGATCAGCCAGCACAATTTGGCCCAACTAATATATTTACTAAGTGAAGATAGGTTACTGGGAAATAAATGTAAAACAAATGTGATAAGAAGAGATAAGTTGAAATACCAAAGAGGCAAGTGAGTTAGCCGCAGCAAGTACCGAGGTCAATACATCAGGTGGGATTCCCCACAGTCCAGAAAATGATTCCGAAAATTTCAGGTTCTGAAAGAGCAGCCCTTCAGCTTTCACAGAGACATATGGGCTCTGGAAAATGAATCACAAGACTGAATTCCAAGAAAGACTCACTGATAAATCAGAATTTCCATTTAGTAATTTGCAGTGAGAAATAAAACTGCCTTTCACATAGTGGGTATTCAACAAATGTTTGTTGAATGAATAAATGAGTGTTGAACGGACTAGAACACCCTAACTGGCTATTTAGTGATGTTTGGTCCCAGGGAAGTCTACCCAGAAAACCACATGAGTGTCAGGAGATTTCTTGTAAACTTACTCATCAAAGGAGATAAGCATTTGATCGTGAGTTATCAGATCCTGATACAGTCAACCCCATTATCAGTAAGATATTCACCCAAAGGACTTATACACTTAAGTTTAGTGGTCAGAAAACCTCTCCTGGACATATACAAGCAATCTGCACTAACAGTGGGCCCTGGTTTAGGAAAATACTAAGATTTCCTTATGAACTTAGATTTCTTCTATCCTAGTTGAGTGCTCTCAATTAAACCACTTTTACATTAGGGTTTTGGTTTTTTTTTTAACTATAGGCCAAAGGAATTCTATTTGTTGAAATGCATCCATCTGTTCACAACTAATCACTCCAACCTGTACTTTGTCACTTACTTTGCCTGACCATCCTATATTTTATCACTCTTTTCTTAAGAGATAATGCATATTTCCAGAAATTCTTCTTCATTCCAGCAATGTGGCCCCAAGAATTCTCCCTGGTCACTTGGACTAGACTTAAATTATTTCTCATATTTCTATCAGCATCACATTTATAAGTCAGTTTTAAGATCTAATTTCTCCTGATTCTGTTTCTATAGATTGTAATTTCACTTACTGAAGGAGCCATTTTTCAGGCCATACTCCCCAGTTTCAGAAGGCCCCTATAAACATGACCCTGTTTTCAAATATTGTAAAACCACTAAATGCTAACATTAATTCAGTTCTATTAATCTTCGGGACTTTTCCACCTTCTTTTTTTTTTTTTGCGGTATGTGGGCCTCTCACTGCTGTGGCCTCTCCTGTTGCAGAGCACAGGCTCCGGACGTGCAGGCTCAACGGCCATGGCTCACGGGCCCAGCTGCTCCGCGGCATGTGGGATCTTCCCGGACCGGGGCACGAACCCGCATCCCCTGCATCGGCAGGCGGACTCTCAACCACTGCGCCACCAGGGAAGCCCTGCACCTTCTTTTTGATGCCCTTCTTCCAACAGTATCCAGTAATCTAATGCTAACTTGGTCAACCAGAGACCCAACCATAGTGCACTGTGATCCTAAACCATCCTTTCCTCTACCTTTTCCTCATTCGCTGCCCGACCCTACCAAGCCGCCCCATCCATCCTGACCAAGGCTCACGTGGGATGCAATTTCACAGGCACTCGAGGGCAGCATGAGCTTTCTTTAGGGAAATACAGGTAGAGAAGTAGGTTATCAAATATTCCTTTATCACAGTCGGTAGTGGAAAGGATCGTAGTGTGCGTTCTGAAAAGCAAATCAAAATGTGAAAGACCCATCTCCCAGTAGGCAAGATGCCTTTTGTTGACCATCACCCCAAGGGCCAAAAATTCTAGGTCAAATCAGCTCCCATCCTTCTAGGCCAAATGCCAGCAGTGACAGTGGTGAGCTCTTCTGAAAAGCACCCAAAGAACATCAAGAGTAGAAGAATACCGTGAAGAGAATTTACCAACCATAATTACTACAATTTTCGCTTGCCCTAAATAGCCACCAATCTCCCCTCTTTACTGTTAATGAAGCAAAGAAGCACACAAGTATTTCTAATTTGGAGAAGCCAAGGGAGCCTGCATGGGCCATTAGCAGCAGAAAGCTTCATTACCAGGGGAAGAAGTCTCTCCCTGAACTTCTCATGGTTTTATGTGCAAGAAATCAGGAGGCAACCAGTCCATCTGAAATGTTAACCCTTACCTCCGAGTCAGCAACGGCTCCTGTATATAATCAAAAAGACAAGAGGACTTCAAGACTTTCCTTTTCTATGAGGTAGCTTAATTTTTTTTTTAATCACCAAGCCTGTTTTTAATTAAGGGACATTTTCCTTTAGAAATATAGCAGTATCACTTGATAAAACTTCCCAACCTAAGTACCAATTTACAATACTAGTTGCATCAACAGTTATGTAATTTAGTGCCCAGATACTCTGCAGAACTGTTGAGTGTATCCTGCCCACAGAGGATTTCTCAGGCAATCAACAATACCAGTGAGAACAAACATTAGCTCCCTGGTTTGTGTTTACCATTAGCTTACTTTTCCTGAGGGTCCACATCTCTGTGTATTAAGACAAACACTGCACTGAGCTCTAAATGCTCTAAATTCGGAGCAATTGTGAAATAAACCCTTTATAATTACACATCTCCTAAGCCAGACACATCACAAAAACGAGCCCCGAATGGTACTGCCAGCATTGCCTGGGTATTCATGCTTGCCGCTGTCACTCTCACCTTTTACTGCACAAAGAGGACAAAATCAAAATGTTGAGCACAGCCGACAAATTTTTGTGGCACGACTTTTCTTGAGCATCCTTTAAAAATACACTGGGCTCATAAGAAGTCTTTGTCAGAAGCTCACCACTGTCCTTCGTTTTGGAGAGTCTTATTTTTGCATAAGTAGCCCATCCTATACAGGTTGCTAACTGTGTATTCCCCTTGCCCCTATGGCTACTGGTGTAAATAAACCGCACCTCCCCATTG